AAAATAAATTAATAAAAAAAGGATCAGAAAAAAGGAAAAAAAATAAAAATGAATATTAAAAATTGTTTTTACCTGTAACTGGTCGGTGGCAGCTAGGTGGCGCAGTGAGTAGAGCACCAGTCCTGGAGTCAGGAGGACCTAAGTTCAAATTCTGCCTCAGACCAAACACTTGACACTTACTAGCTGTGTGACCCTGGACAAGTCACTTAACCCCAATTGCCTTTAAAAAAAAATACATGTAACTGGTGAAAAAATAAAATACTAATTTTTTTTTAAAAGCCTTTCACAACCTGGAACCCTCCTACCTTTCCAATCTCTTTACACTTTATTCCTCTCCATTCACTTTTTTGAAAAATATTTTTTTTTCCCTTCACTCATTCTATGATCCAGCAACCTATGCCTTCTTGCCATTTTTGCAGTTGGGTACTCTATCTCCCAACTCCGTGCCTTAGGTGATCTAGGTAGGATTAAGGAGTGGTCGGTTATATGCAAGTAGTTGGGGGTAGCCCAGATGCCTTGGGCAGAGGCACCAGTGATCCGAGCTGCTGGGTGCTTTCCAGAGACCTGATCTTGAGGTTGGGGCCCATAAATTTTTTTTATTAGAGCCTCAATTACCTTATGCATTCAAAAGGTACCTCACCATTTAGGTGTTCCAGAAACAGTGGACCAATAACGCCCAGAGGAGCAAGGGACCCCAGCCCAATGGTAGTTGAGACAAGAACTCATCCGGTAAAGATGCTGTCTTTGGACATGAACTTGGTGGGACCAATGGTCTGAAGAAATTAAGCTAAGTTTGGGATGGCACACCCTAAGGGGTTAGGGGAAGAGTTTGTTTGTTTTTGCCATATCTTTTAAGTAAATTTTCTCTTGCAAAAGCTGATTGATATTAAGTGGATTAAATGGAACTGGGACTCTAGTCATGGACCCAAATGTGGAGGGAGACGGAGCTGGGGCGGTGGGGGGGGGAGTTAAGCCAATGGCAGTGGAGAAGAGAACCCCCCCAAACCTTTCAAGGTACCCCAGAACCTTGATGGGCAGATATAGCCTGGGAAGAGCCAGAACAAACACACTACAAATTTGTCACAAGATTTCAACTTGGAAAGGAATGTCTCATACAACCTATACCTGTAGAGGAATACCTTCTACAACATTCCTGAATACAAGTCATCCAGATTATCTTTGAAGAGCTCCGTTAAAGGGGAATCTACTACCTCCTGAGACCTTTCACTTCGGGACAGACAACTCCAGTTGTGGGGAAGCATTTCCTTAGACCAAGCTTAAATCTGACTCTTTGCAACTTTGACCCTCTACTCATTGTTCTTAGCTCCTCCCTCTTCCATATCCCACAGACAGGAAGCATCAGAGATGGAATTTGAACTCAAGTCCTTTGTCTCTAGAGACAACAGTTCTTTCCACTATCCCATGAAGCCTCTCTTCACGTGGCTACAAAGTTTCAGAACAGGGACTTTGAGACAGCCTTCAAATACTGGAGGACAGCTCTTACACCCCACTCTCCTCATCTTCTTTTCCTTAAGTTACATCTTTCTAGTTCCATCTGTGGATCAGCACATGGCATGGTCCCTAGTCTCTCCCCTTTCTCCCCTCTATACCTTCCAGCTTATGTCAATGTCCTTCCTAGAATGTGGTGCCCTGAAAAGTTATTAAGGGAAAAGATGTATTTATGTAGGGAGTATGTCTGTTGAAAAAGTTGGTGAGATGAGTGTCGGGTAGAACCAAACTGAAGTCAGGCACCCAGGGAAAGTCAGTCAGATGGTGTCAGCTCTTCCTGAAAGGGGTGTACTTACTGAGCCCCAACAAGGCCTAGAGGTCACATTTTGCCAGGTAGGGTAGGCAGGAACAGGTCCTCTCCCTCTTCTCAACCCCCACAGCAACATCATCACTAGAAATAGAACTAGTATCCCCAGAAGCCCCTGCCAGTGGTCTGGCCTTCTGGGAACGTGCCTGGCTCTCTGAGTACAGGTTTTTCTGTACCCTGACCATTGGCATTTAGATCCCTACTGCAGACAAAGAGAACACTGGAGCCCAGAATGATCCTGCACAGATATATTTATTGGAGGTGGGGGAAGGGAAAAGTTATAAGAAGAAGCACATTTTCTTTGGCCTGGGAGCAACTCAGTTGTTGGCCAGGGTCTCCTCGATCCAGGGCAGGAGCTCAGCGACTCGGGCGTAGACAGCGGGGGTGGAAGTGGAACAGACACTGCTTCCCCAGGAGACAATACCAACCAGGTTCCAGGCACCATTTTTCAGAATGACCAGGGGTCCACCAGAGTCACCCTAGGGAGAAAAAAGACAGGACAGCTTGAGAGGGTCTATCAGCCGTCAAATCAGTGTCCGGAGGGTCTAGGGCATCGGCTTTCCACTCAAAACACCAAATTGGAGTCCTGGAGGTGATACTTCATAGTCATGTGACCAGAGATTCCATGGGGTGGTAAAAAAGACCCCATCAAATGGAGATAACCCCACTTTCTCTTACCTGCCTTATAGGCTTGTTGCAAGCTGTAAAGTGCTACAGAAATAAATGGAAATGATTAAGAACTGAAAGTTCAGTGACTTAGTCCAGGGACTGACAACATGGCACCATGACTAGAGTCTGTCATGACACTATAGAGGCTTGGTTTGAAACCTTTCAAATGTAAAAGGGGAGGAAAAGAGAGAAATAATAAAGTTTACAGTTTTCAAAGTACTTTTGACTTTTCAAAACGTTTTCAGGTCTATGATTTCATTTCTTCATTGCAACCGCCCAAAGAGGTAGGTAGAAAGAGTATGGATATTAATCCCCATTTGACAGATGAGAAAACTGAGGATGATCAAAGTTTGTGATGTGTTGCTTAATAAGCTGGTAGCATAGCCAAGAATAGAAACCAGATTTTTTGATTCTTTCTAGTGCAGAAAATGTGAGTGGACGATGGAAACTAAGGGGAGGTTTAAGAAAAGGAGACATGAATGAAATACCACCATGCATGGGGTTAGGGGAGGAAGGAGAAGTGAGAAGTGTCTCACTCTCACCCATTAAGCAAGGGGAGATAGGATCTTTCTTAGAAGTTTGATCAAAGTGAGGCTAAGCCTTTCAGCTCTGTCACTGACTGGGCAAAAGAGAATTTTTGGTGTTCAGTCATTTTCAGCCATGTCTGATTCTTTGTGACCCCATTTGGGGTTTTCTTGGCAAAGATACTGAAGTTATTTGCCATTTGCTTCTCCAGTTCATTTTACAGATGGGGAAACTGAGGCAAACAGGTTAAATGACTCACCCTGGGTCACATAGCTAGGAAGTGTCTGAGGCTGGATTTGAACTGAGATTGCAGGCTTGGGACTCTATCCACTGTGCCACCTACCTGCCCCCAACAATTAGATCTGTGCAAAAGTGACTAGGCAAGGAGTTCCTCTTTGCTAGTTGTTTTAATGGAAGGATGGATGACCACTTGTGTCAGGCAGTTTACAGAGATTTTAAGTATGCCTTGGACTAAATGTCTTCTGAGGTCCCTTCTCACTCTGATTCTGTAAAAGTGATTGATGATGGGGATGCAGGGGGTGGGAGAGAATCACCAGATCAAGATTGGCTTTGCCACCTACTTACTATCAGGATGCCAAATCACTTTGATTTTCTAGGTCTCCAGTTTCCCACATCTATGATATAGATAATGATAAGATCCCTTTCAAGGCACCATCATTTGCAATTCTGAAAGGGAGAGAGAGGAGGGAAAACAAAGAAGAGAGAAATGGGGGACAGAGAGAGAGACAGGTACCATGCAGGAAGAAACACCACTGGCCCCGGCACAGATCATGGTGTCTTTGATCTTGCTGTCCCAGAATTGCTTGCATTCATCGTTGGACAGCAGGGGCAGAGCTGCCTGTTGGAGCTTATCTGCGACTCTGAGGGCTGCACAGACAAAAGACAAGGGAGTGGATTAGGCACGTCTGGCAAACTGAATAGGAGGAAGTGGGGGCTGGAGGAAGGAGTCTAGAAGAAATGATTCTGAGAGAGTCAGGACTAAAGACTATGCCAAGCTCTGTTCCAAGGTAAGGTTGGCTCTCCCCCTTCTTCACCATTCTGAAACAGTGCTTAAATATCTATGCTCAAAACTTTCTTTAAAAATACTTAAAAAAAAACCAGTAGTCTATGGGAAATCAAATTCTAATTATTAAAAACACATGCATACAAACCAATATTAATTCCAAAAGACAGATTATCTGACATACCTTCCTCCTCAGCAGAGAAGAGAGAGGCAGGGATCTACAAGGATAAAATTGTGTTTTCATTGTTAAATTAGGTCATTGTAGATATTATTTTTGCTTAATTGTTTTCCTTTGTTACAGGGAGGCATGATAATTAAGGCATGGGAGGGAGGGCAGAGCCCAAACTAAAGTAAAAACAAAAAAAGTACCAATACTACTTATTTAAAAAAAATAATCCTATAGGAGTCAAAAGATATACATTACCTACAGGTATATTCAAAACAAAATTGGATTGCGCACACACAGAAGAGATTGAAAAGAGACAAGGAGCAAATATGTTTATTCCTGTTATTTGGTTAAAGCTTATGATATATAGTGTTCTTAAACTGTAAATAATTTAATGTTTATTGTTTTTACAGTTATATTCCTTATTTTGTTGAGATTGTATTCTAATTGAATCCATTTTTAAGAGCTGAGCACTAGGTTTGCTTCTGATGTTTCATATGAATTACAAGTGAACCAGAAACTCATACAAATTGTTTGAGCAAACTTAACTACTAAGCCAATGAAATTCAGGCAGTTGCAGAAAGTCTTCCTTAAACATCTGCAGCCAGGAGCTACTCATCAAAAAGTGCTTTTTCTGCTACACTGAAGCCTCAGAACTATGTTCCAACTCTGGAAGGGTTTTGACTCAAGTTAAAAATTCAAGGTGAAAGTAAAGTCAACTTAAAAATCATGACGTTGTTACAAAGCAGTGACAAATGTGACCGTTTTCTAGTTCTCAGGCAAAATAAAATCCACATGTCTTGTAGTTTGGGATATGTGAATTAGACCAAGGAGTCTTAACTGCAAACAAACTCCTGGAAGAAAAACTACTGGCAATGTGTGAAGCATCTAATGCTGAGCTAGCCAGCTTCACACTCACCGTAATACTTGGTCTTGCCCCAGCCAGTCGTAACAGCAGGGGTGCCAGAAGGGAAATCTTCGTGGGCACTGGGCAGGCAGACAGGGGACACATTGTTCTGGAAGCGTGCAGGGGTAGCCAGCTTCAACAGGGTGATGTCATTGCTAATGGTGAACGAATTATAGCTTTTGTTCTTGAAGACCTGAAAGGAAGGCCAGGGACAGGAGAGTGAGACCCTGGTATATTGGCTCCACCCCCAAACTTTCATTGGCGCCTCCTCAGAATTAGAAGGAACTTCAAAGGTGAACTAGTCCAACTAACTACTTGAAGGAACGCTTTCTCTGACATTCCTGACAAATTGCTATCCAGACTTTACTTGAAGACTTTCAGTGATGGGAGACTCACTACCTCACTACTGGCCTACTCCACTTTGTTAGGAAGTGTTTTCCTTCTTTGTTGTCGAGTTGTTTCAGTTTCATCCAACTCTCCATGACATCATTTGGGGTTTTCTTGGTAAAGACACTGGAGTGGTTTGCCATTTCCTTCTTTGCCTCACTTTACAGATGGGGAAACTGAGGCAAACAGGGTTTGTGCCTAGGGTCACACATCTAGGAAGTATCTGAGGCCAGATTTGAGCTCAGGAAGAGGACCAGACCCAGCACTCTATCCACTGTTCCACATAGTTGCCCATGGACAAGATCCATGGCTAGAATAGGCAGTAAATAGTGGAGCTGGGATTTGAACCCAAATGTAGAAGACAGTCATTGAATTCCTGGCCCAAGAATCAGCCTAGAAGATGGCCTTCACAACAGTTATCTTCAGCTCTGCTTTTCTGTGTAAGTCTCTTCTAACATCCCCTCCCCTCAAAAAGAATCAGCTTTCCCCAGCCGCTGCATCCTCCTCAACAGCTCATGTTGAGCCAAGCTAGGGAGGATTTCATCTTGAAACAAAAAGAAAAAAAATGGCAGGTTCCACTGTATACCTTTACCCTGTGAACTAGTCTTAGTGAGAAAACTAGTTGTACCTGTCCTTAATACCTAGCTAGGAGGGGTATAAAACCCACTCTGCCCTAGAGGGCACGGATTCATTCCACACTGGGGCAGGAGTTCTGACTGCCATCACATATTCCAGATTTTTGAACAGGGCCCCTGGTGTGTGTACCCCAGTAATCAGGAGGCCGGCGGCCCGGGGGACCTGGGGGGCTGGTAGGGTTACAGAAATCATCCTGCTGAGGAGGCTGTCTATTGGAGACTAGCAATAACTATTTTTGTGCATGGCACCAATTCCAAGTATCCTTGTAATAAACCTCCCTTTATTCTGTGAGTCTCTCTTGAGAGTCATTTCCCAATCTTTGCAATTTAGACCCAAGCACCCATTAGCTGGAGGGTCATCTACAGCTCCTTCCAATCTCTAGAACTGGCCGTGGCACACTGAGGTCCTTGGAACCCAGTGTTCTGTCCAAGCCTGGGACAAGACCAAATTTCTTACCACAGTCCTCATTTTCCTCTGAACTTCCTTCCCATTCGAAGAAAAAGAGAATCTCCAAGGGGAACACTGCATCTCACCTCTGTGTAATCATGGGGAGGTTACCGAATCTTACTGAGTCTGAGTTTTCTCATCTGGAAAATGGAAAAAAGACTACCACCTGCGCTCCCTACCTCACAAGGGATCAAATGGAAATGTACATAGCCTACTTTGAGACTTGGCTCAATCTTGCTTTTTGCAGGAGGCTTTCAGCTACATGGCACAGTGGATAATGGGCTAGCCTAAATCAAGAAGACCTGAACTCAAATTCTGCCTCAGATATTTACAAGCTGGGTAACCCTGGTCAAATCACTTAACCTCTGACTCAGTTTCCTCATCCAGAACATAGGGATAATAAATAAAATACACCAACTTCCCAAAGTTGTTGTAACAAAATGAGGTAATATTTGTAAAGTGCTTTACAAGTCTTAAATGGCTATATAAATGCTAGTCGGGATTATTTTCATTTCCCAATTCCCTGCTGTATCACCTACATAGTTATTTGCATGTTGTTTCTCCCGTTGGAGTATAAGTTCCTTGAGGGCAGGGACCCTGGTTTTTTGTTTGTTTGGTTGTTTGCCCTTTTTGGTTTCCTCAGCATTTAGCACATAGTAAACACTTAATAAATGCTTGTTGGCCAGCTATACAGAAGCCCTTTTAAAATGCCAAATATTAATAATAAATTATAAATAAAATATTAATTAATAATCATGGCTTAGATTTTATTAGTTACCAGCCCAGAGCTGAACCCTCTCTATTTACACAGTGCCTAGCAACTGGTAAAAGCTTAATAAATGCTTTACTTCTCTTTTGCACATACCCTTAATCTATTCAGGGAGGCCACGGCCGCCACTTTGCCAGCATGTACTCTCACACTCCTCCCATCCCCCTTCCCTGAGCCCAGGCTGTACCTTGGCTATCGACAAAACTTGGATGTTATCCTCATCAGAGTTCAGGTTAAATTCTCCAGCAACCACCTTGTCAGTTGTGCTAAAACAGAGGGAAGGGCCCATGTGTCAAAGGCCAAGCAGGTACTGCATGAATGCCCACCTAATATCCCAAGAACTCTCTTATCTGACCCAGTTCACCACCACCTCTCCAAAACAGAGCAGAAGAAGCCTCCAGTGGGATTCTCTTAACATACCTGACACTGCAGTGAGCAGCTGTGACCACCCAGTTCTCACTGATGAGAGATCCCCCACAGAAGTGGGAACCTCCTCTCTGGTGGGGAAGAGAACAGACAGGAATCATATGCATCCTAAAAACCTCAACAACTCAGGGACCTCATCTGGGGACAGAGAAGAGGCTCCAAAAACCATGGCCCTGAGGAGAGCCCTCATCTGGGGTAAGGAAAACGGGTCTTTTTTTATCTTTTTGGGGAACTGGGACAAGGAAGGATCCCAGACAAAACTGGCTGGGTCTCCTGCCAAGCTGGGCACCAGCTGGGATTGGCATTTCCTTCTGGCCTAGTAGGGCAGAAATTGCTATGAGTCACAGAGGTTGATATTTATGGGGCCAACTAGACAGAAGGCTTCTTGGGGCCCCAGGACAGCCTCTCAATCACTCTTTTCTTCCTCAGTGGCCATTCCACCCTCCACCCACTGCTCTGGTCCTATAGGAAGAGGAACAGATCCATGGATCCGGGGCTGGGAGCAGGAGAAGGAGGGGGTAACAGCCCTACTCCCGGTGAAGCAGGGTCTAGGTGCCCACCTGCAGAGACACTTGCCAAGGCCAAGAACCAGGAACTGCGTCTTTGCCATTGACAATCCTGGACAGACCAGACAGGGAGGGCTCAATGGCGGGGACTCCACAGCCTAGCCGCATGGAGAAAACGAAGGCACTTAGGGTCTCCTAGCCTTGGACTAACTGGGCAGGCTCCAAATATACCCCCTCAGGCTCTGCGGCCTACTGAGGTCTTAGCTGCTCCTGGAGACACCTGGGTTTGGGATTCCCCACCAACCCCCCACAGCCGCTTGTTCCCAGAGAATAATCAGCGTGGGGTTGAGCCCAGATCACCTGCTGGAAATAGGAGAAAGGGATAGGAGAACTGAGGGCAGACACCTGGTCCAGGGAGCCAGGCCAAGGCCCTTGGGGTCCGGGGAGGGGTAAGGGTCTGTCTCAGCTGGGACTCAAAGTCTCAAGGAGCGAAGAAAGCCCGTGGCTGGAGTCACCCTGAGGGTTCTTAACGAAACCCCTGGATCTGGGATATGAGGGAGGGAGCTTGTTCCCTCCTCCCCCTTCGCACTCTGTCCCATTTCTGGCAGAGAATAGAAAGGAGGAGAAGGGAGAGGAGAGAGGGATGGAAATGTAGGACTGCATCTGGGAGCAGCTGAAGAGGGAGCTCGTACACCCAGGTAGCCCCTCATTCCCACTAGCCGCCCCTGAACTGGGCTTCCCGTGGGGCTGCTCAGTAACCAGTGAGCTGCTCTTGCCATAGTCTGGGGGTGCCCGGATAGCGTCCCCAGGCTTCAGGCCACAGCTTCCTGCCAGAACTGAAATTTCAAAGGAGCTCCCCAATTCCCCCTCCCCTCACCCCCGTAGGAGGGGCCCCCTAAGGTGGGCTGTCCTTCACCCAGACCCAAAATAACTTGGCCGTCCAGATTTCCCCAACTAACACAGCTGACTCCAGTAGGAGGAGAGCACAGGTTCAGACTAATTCATACTAACGTGTGAGCCCCTGAGTCTTTAAACTCTTTCCGAGGCATTTGCATTTTCAAAGAGAGCATCCGTTACCCTCCAAAAGGAATTTTTAATCTGAGGAATTCCAGGAAGTATTGGGGGGGGACATGAAAACAGGGGCCCCTTATATCTCATTAAGCGAGCTCTGAGCCCAGACATCTAGTGCGGGAAGGGACCCCAGAGACCACTGAGGCCAACCCCCTTTCCTCCTCATATGTTACAGATAAGAACACTGAGGCCCACAGAGGTTAAATGACTTGCCCAGGGACCCACAGGTAGGAAACTTCAGAGGCAGGATCTACCTCCAGGATTTTCCCCTCACTCAAAGTGGCTCAGTCAAGGTCATTGTGTAGCCCTATGGGGTTGAGAATGCCCACTTGTCTACTGGGGAGGGGTCTGCCTCCCGGGATGAGGTTCAAGAAATAGACTCACCTGAGGCTGCAGCCACGAAGGCCAGGCAGGAGAGGAGCTGAAGGAAGGCCATGGTGCTGGTGTGAGACAACAGGCCCAGTGCCTTCCTCTTATATCCCTTGCCTCTGCTTACCAGTGGGGCACTGAGCCAATAGCCTTGGCCCTGAGGAGAGGCCAGAGATGTAACTTCCTCCTCCCCACTACCATCCCCCCCATCTCCAAGAGACCTTGGGGTGATAAGCAGGTGGGCCAGCTGCCCTTTCTCTCAGAGAGTCCTTCCCCAAGGGCCA